CGCCCCTAGAAGTTGGGATCATAATCGGCCAGTAATCATTAGATTACCTACGACCTTAGATAGAAAATCAAACATATTTACCAATAGGGGACCACAAGCAGAAGTAAAAATACAAAGATTGTCCAATGAGCTGTGCATATGTGGAAAAATAAAAACCTTTCACACATAACTCACACATCATATACATAAGCAATTTATCCATATCCAGGATCATTCAGAACTTGTCATGTGATAAATCAAAAACAGTCATAACAGAAACTAAGGTTATACAAACTTAGTCACGCATGACCACAAAAGAAAACAAAAAAGAAAAATCAAAAGCCTCATATGTGAGGCGACCTTGGCTGACTTCAAAAAAACTCGATACTTTTTCACAATTTCACTAGGGCTAGGGTTGGACATCCGCTACTCAGCTACATACATATAAATAAAGAGTAAGCTAACGGCCAGTGAATAATACCAGAGTAAAGAGGTTAATGAACGAGATTCGCATATGCACAAATCATACTTGTACTTAATAAATATGAAGCACAATTCTCATTCTCTTATGCAAATCATAACGGAACGATCTCGAGTCTAATCCATTATACTTAGAACATGTCGAAAGGACGAAACGACCTTAGATCCAAACAGTTTTCATAACTGATCATAACATATGTACTAAACGACCTCGGGTCCAACATTTCCATATTCTTGTTCATGCGCATATTCAAATTCAAGGTCTTGTTCACATTTAATGGATCCATACGCAAATGACTATCTGGTCCTTCACATCACATATACAAAATGACCTTAGGTCCATCATTTTCAAATTCATATTCACGCGCACGTTTATAATCATGATCATGTTCACATTCGTATTCACATTCAAAACAACCTTTGGTCTAATCAATTCCATGTTCAAAATGACCTTTAGACCATTTAATAATCATACAAAACGGCCTTTGGTCCAATTCATATGTAAGATGACCTTAGGTCTATTTTGTCAAATATTCTAAACGTCCTTAGGCCCATTCTGTGTCCTTGTCAAATATACCATATGGCCTTGGGCCTATTTCATATTCTCGTCAAACATACCAAACGGCCTGAGGGCCATTGTGTATTCATACAAAACGACCTTTGGTCTAATCTTATAATTTCGTGCTTATTAGTCACGTTTCAAGTCTTTTACGAATCACACAAGTATAATAATCATTCATAATACAAATTCATGACTTCAGAAAACTTACCACATAGGTAGTATTTAGAAAATAACATACATGAAAATATCTTTACTAAGATATTATTCACTGTGTTCAGATGATTGATTCGTCCTCGCAATTGACCCTACACAATTCATAGAACATACGGAAATTGGGTCACAATAAAATTTAATCCGTTCTCAAATTCGTTTGTCTTTCTTAGGCTTCTTTCTAACTCTTTAGTTCATTTAGGATGCTCAATGTATGCATAAGAATACTCATAAATGAAAAAGAATAGAAATCAGAACATAATACAACTTTTCAAAGTTTCCTAAAACAAGGCACTTCACTCGAGCGCAACATTGGTCGCTCGAGCGAACCCCTTGGTCTGCAAAAGTACTGGATGCTCTCATTTTATGCTCAAGCCAACTTCTTGGTTGCTCGAGCCAAGACTGAAAATAAACGGTGAGTGCTCGAGCGGTCTTTTGGTCTCTCGAGCCAGCCTCCAATGTCAACAAAAGTACTGGGAGCTCGAAATGTACGCTCGAGTGACAATTTCATCGCTCGAGCGAACTGCTCGAATTCTGGAATTTTCAGAATTCTGTTTGAGCTTCAAAACACAACTCCAAGGCTCCAAATTCAAATAGGACACACTGTTGACTTCATATAGTCATTACTAAACTTAAATGTTAGCTCAAACAACACAAACCAAAGTCCAACTTGTGGAATTCACCATGCATGTCCCATTTTGGTCTAATTTCTTTTCTAAGACTTTATATACGTGAAATTCAAGTTCATAGCCTCATGAATTATGCATGCATGATCAAAATGACCTTTCTTTTGAATTAGCCAACATAGATTACACTCTAATATGGGATTTCACAATGATCTCTTACATGCATGGGTGAATTAATCTTCAATTCTTCATTCTAGACTCAATTCATGCAACGCATTTCATTATCTTCCTGAATTAATATAATTATGAACTTAAACTCACACATTATGTTTCAAAAACTCACCTAGAGCCTTTAACTCTTCCAATCCTAGCAAGTTCTTGAGCCTAGTTTCCCAAATCTTCAATCTCCAAGTCAATTCCTTCAAGTTCTTGCCTTTCTCTCTCTAAAATGGTGTTTTCTCTCTCTCTAGTGTATAATCTCAACACATTGATGAAGAAGAGCTCAATTCTATGAGCCTAAGCACTAGTCTGTTCATATATATAGTGGGTGATTAGCTTAGGTTAATTAAGCTGGATTAAGGCTAAGCAATCTTACTTAAGTTTAATCAATTTAATCTAATTAATTTGATCCGAATTAATTTTTAATCAAATTTCACCGTAGACTCTAAAAATTATGCTAATCACAATGGTACAGTCAATTTTGGTTTCTGTCGCCTCTACGGCCCTCAATTTCAGTTTATTACAGAATACCGAACAAATTTCTCTACAATGGACAAATACGAATTTAAAAATGCATACAACCACATGCTTAGCATCCAAAATCATATTAGGCACATAATCGCAAGTATAATTTAAGATCAACAGCATAACACAGGATGGGATTATCACAGTAATGGTATTTTTTCCCCTGGTTACCTCCTTGATTGGCCCTCCTTTTATAGCCAATTAGCATCCAACTTGTATTCGTTATTGGCCGTTAGATCCCTTATCGCTTCATTGGACAATCGACAACTTGTTAGAGGTCATCCTTTTGGCAATCAACTTGCATTGGCTATTGGCCGTTGGATATCTATCATTCCATCAAATGGATGAGTCCTTTGTTGAAGGTCATTTTCATATAGATCGGCCTGATTGTGCTAGTTTGAGCCGATCATGGTGATTGGCTCCTTTTGGCTTTCTATAGTCGAACAAACTTTGATCTCAAGTAGTGGTTTTCCCTCTCTTTCTAGGCCTTCTTGGGCCTAAGTTTCCTTGGGCCAAATTTTCATCGTCCACAGTTGTAACACCCATATCTTGCATTGCTTGACATAGCATTCATATATCCATTCGTATTGGAAAATTATTTGACCTTGCTTGTATGATATATGTGATATGCTAGTTTAATGGGGAACTTAGAAAGGAGAATGTGAATAGGAATATCTTTGGTGGAAAAGCTTAGAGAATTTGGTAGGTGTTAAAGAGTTAGGGGATTTATTTTGAATTTAAGTATTGAATAATTAGATGATTCAGTAAACTCTAAGTGATGAGCTTAATGACTTTAGTCTAATGAGTAGAGTTTAATGAGTATTTTATTAGAAATTAAGCGGAATTAGCAAAAGCTAAGTACGATTAACTAAAGCCTAAGTAAGATAAAAACACTTTGAGACAATATTATAACAGCCTGAGTCATGAACTAAAGGGTGGTAGCCTGTGTAGATAGCTCTTTGGCCACCAAGTCTCTCCTAAGGGGAGGGACATCTTGGGTTCTACCGAGTGCAATGAGAGGCAAGGTTTAAGTCTTCGCAAGGAGAAGATGTGAGTTCAATTCCCCTAAATGTTAATCTAATAACTAATTACTTATTTTCTTCACTAAATTTTTTTTTAAAAAAAAGGCCTGAATCATGTGTTAATGTCATATGATGAAATATTTTTCCCATTATTGTAATTTTATGAAAAGCAACAGAAACATAATAAGGTCTAAACCTGAATTCCAAACAATAAGCGCCAAAACCAAATATTGTCTAAAACTCAATTCCAAAACAATAAGCAGTAAAACCATAATATCGTCTAAAGCTGAATTACAAAACAATCTGTTGGACAATGTTTGTGGTTCGAATCCCTTTCATTTCGCATCTTTGCTTCTGTTTGGCTTCCATCATCTTTCCTGGATAAATTAAATAGTAAAATGAAATTTTAAAAGTTAGATGTTATGGTTATAAATCTAAAAAGAGATAGCATTAAAATTTTCTAATTAAATAATAATTCCATGCCATGAATGTAGAAGGCGTAGCATCTTGATACACACAATAGTGAAGGATGAGGGTAAGTCATATAGGGTAAATCAACCTAAAATAATAGGTTTAACGGGTAAGTTGATTGAATTTAATCTCTAAGGTATTATTTGGTGCACTCAAATAGAATTAAACGAACTAATTATTCCATTAAAATGTCCATCTCATATTTGGTAGATTAAAAAATTAATAAATACTACATTACAAATGAAATTACCATTCATCATTGTAACAAAAAAAATCATTTCATACCAGAGTTAAAAGAATCACCCTATTGTATTCCATCCCATTTTATTTTAGTCAACCAAATAGACCATTAATGTAGAATGATTATATTCTATTCCATTCCATTTTAATTTAGTTAACCAAATAGAATATTAATGTATATAATAAATTTTTTTGTGCAATAGGTAAGGCATGTAATGACATGAATAGAATTAATTACATTAAAAGGTTGAATAATTTCTGACATTAACACTTTGCTAATTAAAAATATAAGAGGTCAAAAGATCATACTTAAACATTCAATAATATTTAGACACAATCTTTTAAAATAATATATTTGGAGTTTTAGTCCATGTAGCACTAAACTAAGCTAGCAAAATCATCTCAATAAAATAATAATTAAAATAATTTTTTATTTTAGAAAATATTTTATTTTAAGAATTACAACAATATATCAAAATCGACAAAGGAAACAGATTAATTTATTATCGGCATACCTTCTCTAAGAAGCGTATCTTGGACTCAAGCTCCTTCACATAATTTGAACGCTCATCTGCAATTGACGTGCATATATATATATATATATATATAAGTCAATCTAAGCATCTATCAAAATTAAGTTTTAGTAAATTAAAATTAAAAGGTTACCTCCCCATGGTAGATCTCTCTGTAGTAGAACAGTCGCAGAAGGTCGATGAAGCGGATTCAAATCAAAAAGATCAGACAGAATGGGATTCACTTTATCTGGAGAGGACCCCTCCTTGATATCTCTAAAAAGTGTGAATCTCTCGCTATCAGTCTGGAACTGATACAAGAGATCACATAACAATAAACCTACACTGAATATATCGGCTTTTTGAGTGATGGAAATCGTATCATTCGCCTTTGCCTTCGCCTTCTCCTGCACAATCAACTCCGGTGCCCGATATGCCATATTCCCGACACCTCCTGAAATTTCAACGCTCACACCGTCGGGTACAAAGGTGGCTGGAAGAAAGAAAAAAAATTGTATAAAAACTAAAGTTAAATTCAAAAAAATATTTAAAAGGTTAGTTACACTTGGTATCTCTATATTTTTATTATAATCTATTCTTCAATTGTGATAGTAAACCTTTTACAATTTAACTCAAGTCACCATTCGTCAACCTTATAAACCCAAACTCAAGTTACAATTCGTCAACCTTATAACTGTGAATGACGAAACGTAAAAGTGATATTTCAACTTGATTTAGAGTGTGAAGGGTTGATTGTCAAAATTAAAAATGAAAGAATTAAAATGAAATTATAGTAAAAGTATAAAAGTGCTATAATTAATAATAATTTAAAATTTAAAAAAAATAAAATTATTTGAGTACCTAAACCGAAATCACCAATCTTGATATTATTGTTTTTGTCCAGAAAAATGTTCGCTCTAGTAAGATCGCAATGAATGACGCCCTGATGATGAATATGCTCCACACCTTCGACAATTTGGCGAAAATAACGCCAAATTGTATCTTGATCAATTTGATTGTCCAACTCTTTGGACAAATCCAATCGTGCTTGCAAAATCCTGAAACACATATCATTTGAATAACATGGCACATAAAGAAACATTAACTAAACTAATAGTTAAACTACTATCATACATTTTTGAGAATCTGCATCACAAACTTTTGAATATCAAAATTCAACTTGAAAAGAACTACACACAAGTCCAAAATGATTTCAGCATATAGCCAACGAATATAATTTTTTTGGTGAAACCAAATGGAGCCAAGCCTCACTTTGGCACAGAGATTTTGTATATGTAAATGGTATTAAATAATAACACAACAAGGATGTTCACATTTTGATGCAGTCTTTAGTCTTTGAACTTATGGTTGGCAAATATTCAAAAGTAATATTGCCCCTTCCCCTTTTGTGTTGATGTCCAGTTTCCATTGTACCAAAAAAATTAAATACAATAAATTAAGTAGTTGAACAGAAATTCAACCTATATTGTCAACTATTCTTTTTCCAAAATTAAATTGACCCCCCCAGTCTTGCTACAAGCAACTACTATCATACATTAAAAAGATGCAAATATGACTATAATTTTTGCATGTGGTTTTAATTTGATCTTTATAATTTTTATTGTATTAATGTTGTCCCTTAATTGTTTATTGTGTCAATTGAATTCGATTCATAACATTTTACGAAGTAGAAATCAACAAGAAAAAAATAATATATTGAAAGGGGAATTGACCATCAAATTGGATGACAACCCCTCAATTTTATTGTTCTTTTAAAAAAAGAGTGAATAAACACTATTTTACCCATTGATTTCAATTCAATTTTCACATAGATGCAATTAGAAATCACAAAAATTGAATTGATACAAGAGACAAACTTTAAAGACTATGAGTGTAATTTTTCCTAGTAGAAATGCTTACGAGGGGCAGAACTCCATTTGAATATATAATGTTGTAGTCGGTTTGTCTGAATCATCTGAGGATGACAAATCTTGGTCGCTTTGTGATTTTTCATCTATATAGCCTTCCTCAATCCATGCCTGCAAAAGTGGATTATTAATAGTTAAGATAGGAGTTGAGATTATATATATTATGAGTGCAATCTAAGTGTATAGCAATAAGAGTAGAAGGATTAATTTTTTTTAACCTGATAATAGCGAACGATATGTCGATGTTCCATTATCGATAGAGCAAGCACCTCACTATACATTTAGAAAAAATTAGAAGAGAGAAATTCAAAATATCTAGATGTTATCAAAAAGATCAAATTTATCTCACTTTAACACTTTTTCGCGCTCTTCCTGGTCATTCTTAAGTGGTATTTTCTTAATTGCGTAAATGCATTTGTCTACCAAATTTTTGCATTTGACAACTTCGCCAAAGCCACCTTTTCCTGCAAATGATTTACAATTATTTAACTTTCAGATCTCCAAGGACAATAACTCCAAAAAAATTCACATGATGAGGATCTCTCTGAGTATGCTCAACTTTTTGTTTTTAAAACCTAAAAGGCATCTTCAATTGGGCCCATCTAGTTAAGCAGGTATTTTCTTATGAATAACTTCATAAATTCATATGACACTTGCAAAAACCATAACTTAAAATATAAAAGGAAGCCATAAAATGAAAAAAATCAGAAACCCAATGGACAAGTTCTTCTTTTCTCAAGAATACAAGAATAAACAGAAGATAAATGTAGGGAAGACAAATTGAAATATCCAGGTACCAAGTTTTTCAAGCACCACAAAATCAGTATGCAACCGAGAGCTCATATCTCCAGAATGGCAGAATCATAAGCAAGCTGCCAAAATTCAGAAATTGATTGATTAGTGCATGTAATATTTAACCCTATCTTCAATGACAACAACAAATTCAGAGCAAATACACTAACACAATATAACAATGTTGAACAGAATCAGGTATAATTCATAACTAAAATTATTAACTTCATAATTAGGGTGTATTATCTCTACCACTTAAGAAGTATATGTGTTTTCCAATTTTAATCTACTGTTGCACTTTCAATGGAATATTAGGTGGAAATATATCAATGGTGGCAAAGGCCTCATAGATTAAAGGCATGGGTGATGTGTTTAAAATCTGAGTTCGAAGAGATTCAAACTTTTAAACCCATCAAAAACTGGTAGGTGTGCTGGCAAGTAAGGCATTTGGACATGAAGAGAGGCAACATCTGCTGGTAACTCAGTCAACGGCTTATATTGGGCCAATTCTTTCCAATGGGCTTGAAGATATGCAAAGAACGCTGGCACAGAAAGACCCAAGGCAGACTGGGAGGCACGAGCAATGTCCTAATAGAGCTCAAAGATACGAACATCATTATAAGCATAAACATACATCTGTGACAAGGCACGCCATAGACTAGGAACTGTGTCACAATAGAGAAACATGTGATAAATACGATCCTCCATGGAGTTGAACATCCATCCCAAATTAGTACAATTATCAATATCCCATTGGGCACGTATAGGATTTGTCGCAGCAGGCTGGGTAGTGGAAGATAGGAGCTAGTGAGCTTTTCCCTTTCCCTCTAAATAGAGTTTAAGGGAGTGACTCTAGGCGGCCATTCAACACCACACACTCGTAATACGATGAACATGTGTGATGAGAAAAAGAAAAATCAGAACTAATTAGGACAAGCTTGGTGGACATATCAAAAATAACATTAGGAGGTATCTCAGTAATGGTGAAGTACACATAGCAACACAATTCAGAAAAAAATCCGACAAGCCGAAAAAACTCAACAGCTAATCCGATAAATGTTACCGAATAAACAGTAGCCTACTGAATGAAAAAGACCCAAAAAAGTGCTTAACACATCAGCACTATACCTTGGAAAGGGAAAAAGAGGGCCTAAACTACCCTAAACAGATTGCTGACACCTAAGGCCAATAACCAGCTAGGTCTGCAGCAAACAGTGACCTCGGCAGGGCTGAAACCACTTGCCGAGGGTCTAGGACAGTTGGGAAGGGCTTTTGAGTGGTGTAGAGGGGCTAGGAGGGGTTGTTGGGTGGTGTAGAAGAGAGGGGTGAGGCAGACGGGTGGTGTAGAGGGGCTTGGAGGGGTTGTTGGCACCTAAGGAAGATGAAAGAAGGGGAAGAACAAGTTGGGTAGTGGCTGGGTAATGGCAGCAAGGAGGAAGGAGAAGGGCTAGGGTTTCTGAATGTAGTTCTGATACCAAAAAAGATGAAAACAATGGCTTGACTTACCTTTGAATGAGGTAGAGGCGATGTATATATATCATAGTCATTATACAATTAATAAACAACATAAACAAGAAGAGAGATTCCTACAATCAACATTAAAATATTCTAATTCCTATTCTAAACATAATATTCTAGTTTTTATATTCAACAGTGGTTCCCAAACAAAAGGGGGAAGTTTGGAAGAGTAGCAGGATTCAGTCTTCCATGTAGACAGTAACAAGTTTAATAGCATTTCTTGAAGTGAAGATATAATTATACTGTGTCAAATGAAAAACAATCGCTCGAGACTAAGGAAAAAAAAAAGAGCTTATGTGTTTACCAATTGCATAAATTCCAAGCACTAATCACCCCAAACATGACTCATAACTTGAAGCGAAGTTGTGTCCAGACATACAAAGATTTTTATTGCATTTTTTTAAGCAACAACAAAAACATATGCTCCAGTAAGGAAACGAGTACATTGTCAAGAACCATATTCTATTCAAGAAATCAACAGAGATATCCAGAAACTTTCAAAAGTAATCGATTATGGTCCAACCAAATGTATAGGATTAGTCAATGACCCACCATACTCTAAAATAAATTAATAATTTGAAATAACACAATCATATGATTCAATGCATATGATATTCTGCAAAAAGGACGTTAAAAAAAAAAGTAATCACCAATCGAAGCACTGTCAAACAATGAGAGAATATAAAAGAAGCAAAATCCTGAACCCTCAATCAGAACATAACAATTTATTTATTTATTTTGGATTTTAAAACCCTAAGACAAAATCAGAACAAAACAAAATCAAATAAGATTGTTTACTCTCAAAGTAAACACAAATCTAATTCCCTGAGGACACAAATACTTCATCAAGAATTTTACCCTATCCAAGAAACTGACAAAGAAATCAGTTGTCTTTCTAATTGTAAAATCAATCACAGCCACTCTATATAACTACACAAAATTTATATCTATGTGTTTGTATGTCATACTCGGTGAAAAAAGCACCCTTGTGAGAAGCTTCACTGTTTCTGTGTAGAGGAAGCGTACCTTTTCATTATGTTCCTGTACATAATATATACACCAGGAGTTGCTAAGTTTATGCGAGAGTTACAGCTTTAAAACCCATGATTCATGACTGAAAATGAGTCCTAAAATTATGTTAAAGCCCATGATTCATGCCTGAAAATGAGTCCTAAAATTATGAAGTATTGTCAGTGATTTCCTCTTCATATGTTTTCCAATCTGTTGTGCCATGATATGTGCTTTCCTTAACACCCCTGAAAGTAGGAGTGGGAGGGTTCATGGACACCCAACTTGGTTTGAAAAGATGTGAAACTGATTTTAGGCAGGGCCTTCGTAAACAGATCTGCTGGTTGAGCAGACGAGGGTATGTAACGAGTGGTGAGATGCCCCATGGCAACTCTCTCTCGGACAAAATGGTAATTGAGCTCAATGTGTTTAGTACGAGCGTGAAACATGGGATTGACCGACAAATGAAGAGCACTGACATTGTCACAAAACAACTGAGGTGGCCGTGTAAGTGAAACTCCAACATCCCGGAAGGTACTGTATGTAGCGCCGACCACAGGTTTGGTTTTGATAACTTGAATGGTTTATTTCGTAACTCCCTTTCGTGTATATCGTTTATGATAAAAATTAGATCTATCCGATAATCGGAATTTGTTCATTTTTTTCATGGACAATATACACAAAAAGTCCTACAAAATACACGGCTTGAATCATAAAAACAGGACGTGTGGTGGACTACACAGATCCAAACAACACCTTGCCGTCCAAGTTATGGACCAGAGGCAAGCCTATCCCCTGAAGGTAATAAGGTTTTTTTCTTTTACTTGTTCTTTTCTTCTTCCATAAAGCCAATTGATTGTATATTTTCTCTGGGAAGGGATGATTGGATACCTTCTTACTTGTTAGATCAGTTTCTAAGACTGACATGAAGATTTCACTTCTGCAGATTGGATGTTGAGTAAGCCTTCGACCATAGCTTAGACTAAGAATAGTTTTGAGGGAACTGCTCTGTGTTTCTTTTTCAAACTCAATGGCTTGTAATTTGATCCCCAAAAGGGCATATTGGGTAGCTTTCATCTATACAGTTCTTGTTTCACATGCCTGCAATGGCTTTTATCTTTCGGAAAACTACATGCATACATATTCAACAGGCGAAGAAATATATGCTAAAGTTAATTCATTGACCTCTATTTACAATGCGCTTCCCTTCAGCTATTACAGCCTCCCGTACTGCAAACCCCATATGGGAATAAAGAAAAGTGCAGAGAATCTTGGACAACTCCTCATGGGAGACCAGATTCTCAACTCTCCGGACCGTTTTCGTTTGAACGTCAATGAATCTGTATTCCTCTGCACCACAAGCTCATTAAGTGAGCATGAGGTAAAGCTATTGAAACAGAGAACTCGTGATCTGTATCAAGTAAATATGATTTTGGATAATTTGCCTGCGATGAGGTTTGCTCAACAAAATGGAATTAAGATTCAATGGACTGGGTTTCCGTTGGGTATGAACAATCGCTCGAGACTAAGGAAAAAAAAAAGAGCTTATGTGTTTACCAATTGCATAAATTCCAAGCACTAATCACCCCAAACATGACTCATAACTTGAAGCGAAGTTGTGTCCAGACATACAAAGATTTTTATTGCATTTTTTTAAGCAACAACAAAAACATATGCTCCAGTAAGGAAACGAGTACATTGTCAAGAACCATATTCTATTCAAGAAATCAACAGAGATATCCAGAAACTTTCAAAAGTAATCGATTATGGTCCAACCAAATGTATAGAATTAGTCAATGACCCACCATACTCTAAAATAAATTAATAATTTGAAATAACACAATCATATGATTCAATGCATATGATATTCTGCAAAAAGGACGTTAAAAAAAAAAGTAATCACCAATCGAAGCACTGTCAAACAATGAGAGAATATAAAAGAAGCAAAATCCTGAACCCTCAATCAGAACATAACAATTTATTTATTTATTTTGGATTTTAAAACCCTAAGACAAAATCAGAACAAAACAAAATCAAATAAGATTGTTTACTCTCAAAGTAAACACAAATCTAATTCTCTGAGGACACAAATACTTCATCAAGAATTTTACCCTATCCAAGAAATTGACAAAGAAATCAGTTGTCTTTCTAATTGTAAAATCAATCACAGCCACTCTATATAACTACACAAAATTTATATCTATGTGTTTGTATGTCATACTTGGTGAAAAAAGCACCCTTGTGAGAAGCTTCACTGTTTCTGTGTAGAGGAAGCGTACCTTTTCATTATGTTCCTGTACATAATATATACACCAGGAGTTGCTAAGTTTATGCGAGAGTTACAGCTTTAAAACCCATGATTCATGACTGAAAATGAGTCCTAAAATTATGTTAAAGCCCATGATTCATGCCTGAAAATGAGTCCTAAAATTATGTTAAAGCCCATGATTCATGCCTGAAAATGAGTCCTAAAATTATGTTAAAGCCCATGATTCATGCCTGAAAATGAGTCCTAAAATTATGTTAAAGCCCATGATTCATGCCTGAAAATGAGTCCTAAAATTATGTTAAAGCCCATGATTCATGCCTGAAAATGAGTCCTAAAATTATGTTAAAGCCCATGATTCATGCCTGAAAATGAGTCCTAAAATTATGTTAAAGCCCATGATTCATGCCTGAAAATGAGTCCTAAAATTATGTTAAAGCCCATGATTCATGCCTGAAAATGAGTCCTAAAATTATGTTAAAGCCCATGATTCATGCCTGAAAATGAGTCCTAAAATTATGTTAAAGCCCATGATTCATGCCTGAAAATGAGTCCTAAAATTATGTTAAAGCCCATGATTCATGCCTGAAAATGAGTCCTAAAATTATGTTAAAGCCCATGATTCATGCCTGAAAATGAGTCCTAAAATTATGTTAAAGCCCATGATTCATGCCTGAAAATGAGTCCTAAAATTATGTTAAAGCCCATGATTCATGCCTGAAAATGAGTCCTAAAATTATGTTAAAGCCCATGATTCATGCCTGAAAATGAGTCCTAAAATTATGTTAAAGCCCATGATTCATGCCTGAAAATGAGTCCTAAAATTATGTTAAAGCCCATGATTCATGCCTGAAAATGAGTCCTAAAATTATGTTAAAGCCCATGATTCATGCCTGAAAATGAGTCCTAAAATTATGTTAAAGCCCATGATTCATGCCTGAAAATGAGTCCTAAAATTATGTTAAAGCCCATGATTCATGCCTGAAAATGAGTCCTAAAATTATGAAGTATTGTCAGTGATTAACGGCTTATATTGAGCCAATTCTTTCCAACAGGATTGAAGATATGCAAAGAACTCTGGCACAGAAAAACCCAAGGCAGACTAGGAGACACGAGCAATGTCCTAATAGAGCTCAAAGATACGAACATCATTATAAGCATAAGCATACATCTGTGACAAGGCACGCCATAGACTAGGAACTGTGTCACAATAGAGAAACATGTGATAAATACGATCCTCCATGGAGTTGAACATCCATCCCAAAATAGTACAATTATCAATATCCCATTGGGCACGTGTAGGATCTGTCGCAGCAAGCTGGGTAGTAGAAGATAGGAGCTAGTGAGCTTTTCCCTTTCCCTCTAAATAGAGTTTAAGGGAG